ATAACAAATTCAATTCATGAATGGTTACGGTTCGATTCAGCGAATACGCAAGTGAATCGTAACAGCCCTAGTAGTGAGATATGAATAGATCTGACGAAAACTATGAACGGATGAAAGCCTGTAAATAGTCAAGGCTGGACCAAACAAAACAGTGATTGATAGCATCAGCAACAATCGGCAACATCAGAATTCGATGACATGCAATCAAACGAATTGCCGAGTCTGACCCTGTTAGCCAGACTCCATTATTCTGAAACCCTTTATAAACATAGAAGGAACATTACCACAGAAATTAGTTTATCCTTACAATTTCACCAGAAGCGTGACACTCCCAATTAACGAGGTCTTACCATATATATAAAGACTGGGGCCTGTACATATCTCAGTACCCCTATTCCTTGTGAGTTCTCAGGCTAGAATTGGTCCTCAGCCTGGCCTTAGTGAGAGGTGTCATAACGGATTCGGATGGACTGCGTGGATCATTATTGCTTCAAATATTAATCACTGGTTTGTCTGGTCCAGACTTGATTATTTATTTGAAAGCTGGAATATTGCTGAGTGCATCTTAAAACAATAAGCAACACCTGAAGATCTGAGGCAGACTAGGTCTTCAGCAACCCATGCTTGGGTGACTGTGATTAGTCAGTAACCAGGGCGACTGTGATTGTCGTCAGAGGCAACTAATCGGATGGAGTCGTTAGGCTCACTGACTTGGTTGATGCTTGATTATTTACAGATCACTGTCATATGGCTAGAATATTGCTGAGTGCAGCTATAAGCAACAAACAAACAAACTAATAAAACAACAAACAATATCCCTTTTAAATGTTGTGTAGCATATTTGTCCTGCTCTAACAGATTGGTCTCTTTCCAAACAATATTTATGAAACCAATGTAATATAAAAGTCAACTTGCCGATATTTATGTATGGATTAATTTTAGAAGCCATATCGAAGCCATTTCTGTTTACTAAGCTATATATTGGATTTCCAACATCTGCTCAGTATGACTAATACATGTAATATGTAGTGATACTTTTCAGTTGTGAGCGAAATTGATTAATAATTCTGTTTATATGATTATTGTAATTCAAAACATGTTTATGTTTTCGACTAAGCACATGTTGTCATTTGCCTTCAGTCTCAATTAGATGCAATGATGTATATATGTTTGTAGATTGATTGATTAGGAAGTTTGTATCTGGTGACCTACTTGCTCAGCTGTTGCCCGAGTGGTTCATGTCTTCAACATAAACAAGACATAAATTTCATGTGAAGGAGATTTATTGGATTACGACAGTCTCCTGACACCAGATGGTGCAGTTCAGTCACCTGATCTTATTACCTTGACATTGCTTCTGTTGTTAATTGACAGTATCGATGGCCGACTTTGTTGATAAAATAGTGTCTCTTTAGGCATCAGGAAGGAGTTAGACTAGCTTAGACTTAGACTAACATCTAGTCTCTGAAATGAACATATTGTACAGAAAAAAACAGTTGTTCAGTTATTTTAATAAAAATATAATAAAAGGGAGCCCAGTGATACTGCAGTAATCAAGACTTGCCAAATATATAGACTTGCATGGGCTGTATTTGATATATATATGTATCAGGGTCTGTATAACAGACTAGAGTTGACTCCATGTTTAGAGAATTGTAGTCTAATGTTCTGATCAATCCTATCAACCTGACAGGGTCCTGTTTTGTAATATGAGATTAATCAATGAATAATCAATGCCCAGTGGAACACTAGCACGTCTTACGTATTAAAGGGACGATGATTGTTTTCATGTTATGTGAATGTAGACTTGCATTGATAAAGTCCTTTCATATTGTTTCTGTTATTAACATAATTGATAAATAATTAAGAATTAACTTCAAGTTGTTTTGTTTATGGAATCATTTTGGTAAAAACCAGTGTGAACACTGTAAATTCACATAGCTGATTTACCTGAATTGTGATCACTGGTTTATAACTCCATGTACGCAAAAACGTATTGAAATCAATTCTTGTATATAAATATGTCTTCAATAATAACTAATAACTTCACAGACTTCTTCATATTTAACATGGAAACACAAAAACTGTAGAAAATGATATGAAGTCGGTGACTTTGTTTAGAGTCAAAACATCTATTGTCAGCCAGTCAGAAAACAAAAGTCTTAGTGGACATGGTCTAATATTTTTTCTTTTTGTTTTGATACATAAACACTCAAAAATTGCATGGTTAACCTATCAAATGCTTGGGAATCACTTGCAATTGATTTATTATGTCATATGCAGTGGGGGAAGATTGATGATGATCAATCTGTCGGCCAGCAGGGCTCGTTCTTCTCGACAAGAACAAGGGCCTCCATTCACAGCACAATAGTGGCATTTGTTGGAATTTAACACAATCCAATGTCTATGTTAAAGAAATGATCATCTTAACACTAATACACGTGAGTGAGTGAGTATGGGTTTACACCTCTTTAACCAATATTCCAGTGATATCACGGCGGGGAAACCGGGAATGGGCTTCACACATTGTACGCATATGGGGAATGGAACCCGGGTTTCGGCATAACAAGCCAACACTTTAACCAGTAGCCTACCCCACTGCCCTCTAATGCACATGTTGAAAGGTCACTTTGTGGAACATGGCCCTGGATTCTGAATTTGCTCACAAATAGTAGTATGTAAACAAAATCAAATATTCCTACTGGTGTTTACCTTGTGAATGTTATGAATATTAACTGATAATCAATAAAGTACAGCATTTGGTAGGTTTTAGTAAGGGCCGTTGACTACCAGGCCACTAACCTTACACAATTACAACCCTCAGCTATTTATGCTTGTCACGGGCTTAAGGACCAGCAGTGTTGTCAGTCCTTATACAGAACAAGTTAGATGTACAAATGATACAGGGTATCTGATTACTGTAGTTTGTATGTCAAACTAGGTATTTTTCAGCTGCAGCTGAGATATTTTCTCAATCATAACTGAGCCTAGATATTTAATAATAAAACACATTTTACATAATCTGAAGCATAATTATTTATTAAATTTTTAGGGGCTCAAAACAGTACTAATCGGAGTTAGAGTAGCTAATGTGTCCACGTTAGTCACCATTTTAGACTTTCTGGATAATCGAAGATGGCAGAATTCATAAGAAGAAGTGATCTTTATATTCCATGAACTATTTAAGCTTTTGCAAACTATAACATTGTTTGATGCATATCACAAAACTGCGATGGAAAGCATCACTTTTTCTAGCTATAACATTATTTGACAGATCTGACAATAACACTATCTGATGAATAAATACATTTATTTGAGGAATAAATAAAGTTGGTATGCAGGTTTCTACATGTGGGATCAGGTAAAAGTGGACCCAAATCCAGGTGATTTAGTGGGGAGAATCAGGTGAAGTAAACAAGTAGAGCTCCAAGGCTTTACCGTAAATAGGCCAACAGTCTGAACAAGAACTATACACGTGTGCACAGCTGTCTAGCATTAGATACACGGTAGTCATGTGGGCTGTCTTTTACACTGAATGTTTTCGCCTGTTTTTAGTTGTATGAACTAGGTTCAATTATTTGGTTGTGTATGATGTCACATCACAGTAATCTTATTGTTTTGATCTTTACTTAATTTGTCATTTCCTTATTAATTTTTGATTTTATGGTAATCTCCACACTTATTTCTCTGGAAACATTCTGAAATCTAATCTAATGAAAACAGTGTTTCCATAATTTTATGTGGGCAGTATATTCTGATTGGCAACCATTGTTTAGTAGAGTTTGTTGAGTTGTATTACAGGTTATTGTTATAAGTACGGTATCGAGGACCAGGGTAACCTAAGCCTGGTCAATCTCCAGTACTGTAAACATCCCAGTGAACGTCCACTGCTAACAGGTGCTTTGTCAGCTAAATCTCTCCATTGAGGGTAGGATGAATGATGAGGACTGGATTGAAGTTTATTAGAGTTTGGCTTGAGTGTTGTCCTCTGTGTCCAACAGATAGAGAATATGTTAAGATTTATTAATTGTAAACACAGCCAACTTTATGAGTTATATAGAAGTTTTGTGTCAGGCATTAGTAAGATGTGTTGACAGTACATTGTCAAAAATATAATAAACGTTTTATTGGTAATGGGATAAGCTTGTGGACTTTGATTGGTAATTATGGAATATTGAATACTTTAAATGGTTAACAGTGATTGATCAATATTTTGTTATTTTGGGACAATTGATTGAGTTTAAATATTGGTGACAATTTGCATTGACAGAAATATTTTGATGGTCTTCAAGAAAATCATAGTAATGTCATTTATGATAAGTTGGGACATTGATGAATTTAGGTGTGTTTATATAACCCTAGGCTCCTAATTGAGATGCTGGGTTAGAATTGCTACCTGGCCACCTATGGGCCTGGGATTTTGTCTGGAGATTAGAGATTTTTCCAGCTACAGCTGTAAGACCGGATAATTTTTAAAATAAAACTATGAGCCTGAAATTTTTTTAAGAACGCCTTGCAACGATGTAATTTTTGTGGCAGATGATTACCAATGGACAATATCAATATCACTGGATTGTCTGGTCCAGACTCTTTTATTTACAGGCTGCTGTTATATCGCTGGAATATTGCAATACAAACAAACAAATGTTATAGATAACACAAAGTGATAGTGAAAGTGAATATGATGGCATCTGCAGTCTGTGACTTGGGCTCCTGGTCCGAAGCCAGAGACTGGTAACACTCTGTTTGCTTCAGTAAGCTCAGTTAATAAGTCTCCATATAATAACACACACCATCTACTGAATGAAATTATTGCTGAGAGCCAAGATTGGCTTAGTGGATTCAACACTTTTTGCACAAACTGCATCTATAGTTTGACGTCTGACGGAGTATGAGTGTAAAGAGTTTGCAGACTGCATCTATACTTAGATGTCTGACAGAGTACCCGTGTACAGACTTGACGGACCTGTTGAAGATTGTGGAAATCTGTATTGTTTTAGGAAAAAGCAGTCAACATTCTCCCACAAGACTGATTGGAAACATGCATTCAACTATGTGGCCAAGTCCTACATAGAGAAGGTGGACCGTGAAGTGTACTTTGAGGATGTGAAACTCCAGATGGATGCCAAACTGTGGGGAGAGGAGTACAATCGTCACAACCCCCCAAAGAAGGTAGCTGCATGATGAGTGGTAGTTAGATATCAACTGCCACAAGCTTCTGTACATTGACACGTGGGTGTTCCAGGGAACAATATGTTATACATTGATACATCAGTGTTCTAGGGAACAAGCTCTTGTGTATTGACACATGGGTGTTGTGGGGAACAAGCCCTTGTACATTGACACATGGGTGTTCCAGGGAAGAATATGTTATACATTGACACATGGGTGTTCCAGGGAACAATATGTTATACATTGACACATCAGTGCTCTAGGGAAAAAGCTGTAGTACATTGACACATGGGTGTTCCAGGGAAGAATATGTTATACATTGACACATGGGTGTTCCAGGGAACAATATGTTATACATTGACACATCAGTGCTCTAGGGAAAAAGCTGTAGTACATTGACACATGGGTGTTCCAGGGAAGAATATGTTATACATTGACACATGGGTGTTCCAGGGAACAATATATTATACATTGACACATCAGTGCTCTAGGGAAAAAGCTGTAGTACATTGACACATGGGTGTTCCAGGGAACAATATGTTATACATTGACACATCAGTGCTCTAGGGAAAAAGCTGTAGTACATTGACACATGGGTGTTCCAGGGAACAATATTTTATACATTGACACATGGGTGTTCTAGGGAACAATATTTTATACATTGACACATGGGTGTTCTAGGGAACAAGCTCTTGTACATTGACACATGGGTGTTCTAGGGGAAAAGCTGTAGTACATTGACACATGGGTGTTCCAGGGAACAATATGTTATACATTGACACATGGGTGTTCTAGGGAACAAGCTCTTGTACATTGACACATGGGTGTTCTAGGGGAAAAGCTGTAGTACATTGACACATGGGTGTTCCAGGGAACAATATGTTATACATTGACACATGGGTGTTCCAGGGAAAAAGCTATTGTGGTGGGTTGGGATTTTGTTGTAAAGTCCTGTTCAGTCTGTAGTAGTTACAATGTTTGCATGTCAATCTGATCACCAGCATTTGAGTGAGTGAGTGAGTGAGTTTAATGTAATGTCGAAACCAGCATTTGATGTAGTACATGGTGCAGTGTGTGACAGGTAGAGTCAAGTCTCTTTAATCCGACACTCGTTAATCCGACAGTCGGCTTTGTCCGACACTTATGATTGGAACTGATTAAATCAGTGCTATGTGGACCCGTTAATTCCACAGGCTTGCACTCCGACTCCGACTCCAACACACCTAATTTGCAACGAATTACCAAAATCACTCAGTCTCGCTAATCTGACACAGTGATCAGCATACTCCGTGGTCATCTGCCCGCGAGTACACAGCCCGTGTTTTGATGCGAGACAAGTCGGCTGTTAGCTACATATTACAACAGCTGCAGAGATAAAAATTGCTTAACAATAAACAATTAATGCTTTAAATAAACAAAACAGGATTAATCACATGCTTAGATTACCTCAATATAATTGAAGTTGTCCGATTTTCGATCACGAACGCTGATACAACTTAATTTTGTTTATCCGACATACTCGTTAATCAGACATAATCATGATAATCATATGCAACCAACCATGTTGGACTTGACTGTATAATGTTTGATGGATGCAGTGTTTGATGGGTGCAGTGTATGATGGTTGCAATGTATGACAGGTACAATGTGTGACAGGTACAATGTTTGATGGGTGCAATGTTTGATGGGTGCAATGTGTGATGGTTGCAATGTGTGACAGGTACAATGTTTGATGGATGCAGTGTTTGATGGGTGCAGTGTTCGATGGGTGCAGTGTTCGATGGATGCAATGTGTGATGGTTGCAATGTGTGACAGGTACAATGTGTGACAGGTACAATGTTTGATGGGTGCAGCGTTTGATGGATGCAATGTGTGATAGTTGCAGTATTTGATGGTTGCAATGTGTGACAGGTACAATGTTTGATTGATGCAGTATTTGATGGTTGCAATGTGTGTTAGGTGCTGTATGCGACAGGTGCAATGTGTGATGGTTGCAATGTGTGACAGGTACAATGTTTGATAGTTGCAATGTGTGTTAGTTGTTGTATGCGACAGGTGCAGTTTTGGTGTTCCCTGACCAGTATACCTGTTATAAAGACCAACATTGTAGAGACACCATCCTTGCTTCAGGTGGACATATTCCAGATGTATATCCTGGAGTTCAAGGCAAGGAAAGGGTCGCCCCTGTTTCACCTGGAACATTTCATCGAGGGTGACTATGTCAAGTACAACTCAAACTCCGGATTTGTGGAGGAGACCATCAGACTCACACCACAGGTAAGATGTCTAGGCCTGTTCCTCCAAACTGTCTTAGTGCAAACCAGCATTTGATGTCATACATGGTGCAATTGTTTTAATTGTTGTAGCTAAAAGCAGTGTGAAACCATAGTCTCTCTTCATCATCAATATGCATGCACCTGTAGTCTCTCTTCATTATCAATATACATGCACCTGTAGTCTCTCTTCATTATCAACATACATGCACCTGTAGTCTCTCCTCATTATCAATATACATGCACATGTAGTCTCTCTTCATTATCAATATACAAGCACCTGTAGTCATTCTTCATTATCAACATACATGCACCTGTAGTCTCTCCTTATTATCAATATGCATGCACCTGTAGTCTCTCTTCATTATCAACATACATGCACCTGTAGTCTCTCTTCGTTATCAATATGCATGCACCTGTAGTCTCTCTTCATTATCAACATACATGCACCTGTAGTCTCTCTTCAGTATCAACATACATGCACCTGTAGTCTCTCCTCATTATCAATATACATGCACCTGTAGTCTCTCTTCATTATCAATATACATGCACCTGTAGTCTCTCCTCATTATCAATATACATGCACCTGTAGTCTCTCCTCATCAATATACATGCACCTGTAGTCTCTCCTCATTATCAATATGCATGCACCTGTAGTCTCTCTTCATTATCAATATACATGCACCTGTAGTCTCTCTTCATTATCAATATACATGCACCTGTAGTCTCTCTTCATTATCAATATACATGCACCTGTAGTCTCTCCTCATTATCAATATACATGCACCTGTAGTCTCTCCTCATTATCAATATGCATGCACCTGCAGTCTCACTTCATTATCAATATACATGCAGCTGTAGTCTCTCTTCATTATCAATATACATGCATCTGTAGTCTCTCTTCATTATCAATATACAAGCACCTGTAGTCTCTCCTCATTATCAATATACATGCACCTGTAGTCTCTCTTCATTATCAATATTCATCCACCTGTAGTCTCTCCTCATTACCAATATGCATGCACCTGTAGTCTCTCTTCATTATCAATATACATGCACCTGTAGTCTCTCCTCATTATCAATATACATGCACCTGTAGTCTCTCTTCATTATCAATATACATGCACCTGTAGTCTCACTTCATTATCAATATACATGCACCTGTAGTCTCTGCCCACTCTTTGTTTCACCAGGCTTTTAGCCACTTCACGTTTGAGCGGTCCGGTCACCAGATGATCGTGGTGGATGTCCAGGGCGTGGGGGACCTGTACACTGACCCCCAAATCCACACTGTGGAGGGCAAAGATTACGGCGACGGCAACCTGGGCTGCAAGGGGATGGCACTCTTCTTCCACTCCCATGTCTGCAACACCATCTGTCACAGTTTGGGTCTGTCTGAGTTTGATCTGTCCGCCAATGAGCTTAACACTCACAAGGACTTCCTGGCCAAACAGGTGATTGATTGACAAGCTTAATGTAGAGTCTTATAGGGAGGACACATCCTGTCAGGAGTTGTGTAATTTTAATTATCCAAATAATTCATGTTTGCTGACTTTGTCAATGGCCCATATTAAAATAATTTTGAGTTGGTGAATACATGGACTACACAGAGAAGCCAACTTCCGACTGGTTCTTCTGGAGTATCTTAGTATGGTGGTTCCCTGTTGGTGTGCATCAATGCTAACACTAGTGACCCTTCTTAAAGAATGAGAATCTGTGCCGCAAAAAGGGTTTCGTTGAAACAGTTGATGGGATTAGAATGAATTGATACTTTTCTTGGTAAATATTGTCCCAAATTTGAGAAACATGCCATTGAGCAAAGCAACATGTATATCACATCTATTATATTTTACAGGTTGATATATTGAATTAATACCCTTTCCCCGCATTGGTAACATAATTTGGTCCAATGAATTGACAGTTGTTATTTCAACATAATATCAGAAACTCTCTATTCAGTTGGTGCTGTTGATCAAGAACCTTCCCAATATTATTGAGGTATTGGCATCTGTTACTCATCTTATCATGCATAGATTAATCAGATTAAACATGTTGAGAATATTTTAAGATCACAACAAATGTCTTACCATTGATTTGTTTTAGCTAACACATGTTTCTAAACCTTGTCATGAGTCCTGTAATTCATCCCCTGTCAATATATCCTATTCAGATCAAGTTTGCCCAGACCCGGGTGCGCGGCAAGGAGGAATTCTGTATCAGTCCCTCCCCCAAGGAAACCATCAATATCACCCAGCTCCTGCGACAGAGGTCAATTTCATCCTCTGGTAGCCATAGCGATGAGCCTTCCAGTCCCACTTCCAATGATGATCCCATGTCTGTTGACAGTCCGGTTGGACGTGTACGGTTGCGATTTGTTAGTGAGTCGGACAGTGTTTCCATGAATGAGGTAAGTTCTTAGAAATTCAAACGAAGAATAGTTTCCTGTCTTGTCATAAAATATGAAGCAAGGATGAAAGGTCTTTTCTTTTTAAACTAAAGTCATTAAAACGTCTCCCTACAGACAAAGTACTGGAACAAGTATATGTATTCAGCAATAGGAGCTTTGGCATTAGATGGATCAGTATCCAAGATGAAGTAGGTTTGTGGATAGATTTCTGATTTCTTTTCTTTGTTGGTTAGGAAGAGGATCGAGAAGCATTTTCCCGAGCACAGGCAATGCACGCAAGGCCATCTTGTGTGAACATGGAACTGGATTTGAGAAAACTGTCCAATCTTCGCATTGGAGATTCTGTTTTGGGAGATGTGAGGATATTTTCACTTCTAATTTAATAATTTGTTCAGAGAATATTAGATATCTCTGATTGGTTTGGTGTAAATACTTTAATGATGTTGTGTACTTTCAAACCTGAGTGCTGTTTTGAATGGGTATGAGTAAAGGGAGATAAGCAGGTCATGTGTTTTTCATCACATTTTTATGACCTCCTGCTATGTCGAAGTTAGAACAGGATATTCAAACAAGTCATGTCTGCCTGCCTATCATACATCAATTACGTTTTTTTTAAAAGATTATGTTATGTTTTGTCTGTTAGCCACAATAAATGTCATTCAGTTATGATGAACTAATATTTCTCACACACGTCAGACATAAGAGCACTCATCGCTACCTGTCAGTTTTAAAAGGCCTTTAATACATTTTCATTGCCTGCAGCACATTTTGCAGGGGGTATTTATATCAACACCATTCGCCCATCAGTGCAGAACATAGATAGGTCTGGTGGGGAAGTGTAACTTTTGATAGTTTGGGATTTTTCATGAAAAAATTTCTTTTCAAGTTTCCATGGCAACAACTTTGAGTTTGGCTGGAAATGGCAGTAGTGCTTTTTTCCGGAGCAGGTCTTGAAAACCATACTATATTTCTGCAGCAAACTTGGCTCATAGATAGAGGGGCGGTCGGGTAGCCTAGTGGTTAAAGCGTTTGCTTGTCAGGCCGAAGACCCGGGTTCGAATCCCGACATGGGTACAATGTGTGAAGCCTATTTCTGGTGTCCCCTGCCGTGATATTGCTGGAATATTGCTAAAAGCGGCGTAAAACCAAACTCACTCCATCATAGATAGATCTAGTGGGAAACTGGTGCTTTTTAAATGTTTGTGATTTTTTCACAAAACTTGTGTCCTCTTGGTATTCTGTGATTCAGAATGTTTCTTTCTCAAACATTGTCTGTAAGAAGTGACACTATGTATTCTAGATCCATCATGAAATGGCCAAATATCACGAGCTGGGACGCTTTACTATGAATGAGAATGAGATTGACTGGGAGTCAGCCATCTACCATGAGGAGCATGCTGCCCAACTCGGGGTTTTGGAGGCCATCTTGACTCTCGCCAAACTGTACCTCGGGATCCAGAGAGATGTCCTATGCAACTGCTTTGTGGAGGTGAGTATCCATTCTTTGCACGTCTGCAGTATTTGTTATCAAGTTAATAGCATTTTCTTAATCCGATCTAACCATTTGAGATTTTGGAAATCAAATGGGTGAAATAGTCATGCATGAAATACTACTTTGATGGGTCTCAAGTACTCCATGTTGTTGGAAGTCTTTTGAAATAGAGGGGATCCGATTTGCATTATAGTTGCTGTATCTGAAATACAATTCCAGGAGTGGCATTAAACAACAAATCAACAACAGCCAATGATGAGGGCATCGGATGTACAAAATGGTTGCTGTGTTAGAAATAATATTTAGATGAGTCATCACCAGGACAGAGTAATCTCAGCATTGATCCAATATGTCATGTGTCATTTCAATGCAGAGATGACTATTAACCTGTCTGATTTCCAATACACACTAATGATAATGCTCAGAGAGTTTGACACAAAATGACTTATGGATCCTTGATGTCATGTGTTGCCAGCCGTCCTCAGAGAACATTGACCAAGGAGTGGACTACATGGCCGAGGCAGCTGAGGCAGGGGATCGTAGTGCCATGATCTTCATGGCCAAAGCTTTTGAGACCGGCATCAACCTGGGCGTTAAGAGGTAGGTACACAAGATGTTCGTGCCAGGTTCATTAATTTCAAATCTGTTGTCTAAACTTCTTTCCGAAAACAAAAAAAGTATATTTGTATATAAATCATTAAAATAGCGAAATTATTTCTTTGTCAAATGGTTCCCAGGCATAAGGAGGATAAATTTGTTTAAGTTCCAAGGGAGGTAACTCATTAATTGGCATGTGTTCAGGAGCATCTCTTGGGAGGACTCGGTTCACTATTACGATGAAGCTGCCGCTCAGGACACCCATGACGAGGGTGGAGAGTACGATGCTGCCATGGATGACCCCGTCTACATCCTAAAGGCCAAACAGGCTGAGTTGCTTCGGTCTGGTGGTAATGGTCTGGACAAGAACCCCGAGAGAGCAGGTAGGCTCGTCTGTGGCTTCCTTGAATATATGTTTAAATGACACATAAAGTTACGTAGTGCTTGTTATCCCCCTTGGAATATAATGCAGGGGCATATAGTCGTCACCTTGTCTGTCTGTCTGTCTGTCTGTAGTCATTTCGTTGCCGGGGATGGGGAGGTTGTCATCTTCTGATGACTCTTGTTGTACAAGATGAGGGCAGAGGACAATGTTGTGGTTAAAATTTGTACTGGTTGTGCTGAAAATTCGGCCTTGGTTCCTCAAATGTGTACAGTTTGCATACACTGTGTGAACCCATTCTTGGTGTCTGGTATGGCTCAAATATGGATAGAAGCATACAACCCGACACACTTGGCGGAGAGAGGCAATAGGGATAGTGTGGCCACAAGGGCAGAAGGTGGTTCTGTAAAATACACTGTCAGACTCCCCGTGAAGATCTGGGTTAGTTTTTGTGTCTTCAGCAGCCCATGCTTGTCGTGAGAGGCGACTTACGTGATCAGTTTGTCAGGCTCGCTGTCTTACTTTATGCATGTCATTGTATCCCAATGCATAGATTGATGCTCATGATGTCAATCACTGGATTGTCTCGTCCAGACTTATCTTTCAGATCAGACTAGTTCAGCAGTACCCCAGTACCCGGTAACTGATATGCTGTTCAAAGCAGTGTTAACTCACTCATCATGAAAATCACTGGATTGTCTGGTTCAGACATGATTATTTACAGACCGCCGTCATGTTGTTGGTATATTACTGAATGCAGCAGTAAACAACAAACAAAACAATCAGATGACTAAACAGGCAATCGCTCATTGCATATGTAAAAAATGAAGGTTTGAACTTGGTAGAGTATATATGTTGAGTTAGTTCCTTTGTTACCGACCCGTGAAGATCCCGGGCAGAATAGGTCTTCAGCAACCCATGCTTGCCGTAAAAGGCGACTATGCTTGTCGTAAGAGGCGACTAACGGGATCGGGTGGTCAGTCTCGCTGACTTGGTTGATGCATGTCATCGCATCCCAATTGCGAGGATCGATGCTCATGATGTCAATCACTGGATTGTCTGGTCCAGACTGGATTATTTACAGACCGCCGTCATATAGCTGGAATATTGCTGAGTGCGGCGTTAAACAACAAACCAACCAAATCCTTTGTTACCACCTCATGATAACTAACAGACTTATAGTTAATAGACCATGAAGTATTTCAGTGGTTCTTGTTCTCTGTCACCAGCTGAGTTGTACAACGAGGCAGCAGACGAAGCGATGGCGGCCATGAAGGGACGCCTGGCTACCAAGTACTACGAGATGTCCGAGGAGTGTTATGGAGAGATGGAGGAGTGAGTTCTCTCGGAGGCCGCTGAGACAGGACTGTGCAACACATCACAATTTGATCTCAGTGCGTGTGGGTTGCTTTACCCATGCAATGTACTCTTGCTATTACATACATCCAGTATGTGTGTGTCAGTAGTTATCCCTCGTCATAGATGTTACTGTTGTATAGAAGTGTGGAACCTAAACTCTACACAGTAGAATGTCAGAAGCTGAATAATCTCATATTGTTTGGTTACAGTGTTAATCATAAACAAGATGTTACAGGTTGAAGATAGGGACTTGTTGATGGAGCAGTTTGGAGACATGGTATGACTGTAGTGGTAGTCTAAGCCAGGACATCACAGTCCTGAAGATAGAGACATGTTGAAGCAGTCATGCTGTACTGAGCTTGCAAGTTTCAGACATACACTGAAGGGCTTATAAGAGATTACAGTGCTGAAGATAGACTCTTGTTCATGGAGTCATGCTGTACTGATCTTGCAAGTTTCAGACGTACACCGAACGGCTAATTGAGAGATTACAGTGCTGAAGATAGAGACTTATGTTGAAGAATTTCAGAAGTTGAGCCAGTAGTATTAATGTGTAATTACATGGAAACTGACTTTAGCTGAATGAGTAATTGTGACTGATATTAACATGATTTGGGATAACATGAACATTGAATGTGTTGATAAATATCACAAACCATTGCAGGCTGTCAGTGATAAACAGACAGGCTTGAGAGATATAAAACTCGGACCTGGTTTCCCTGCTCCAGCAGGTGTGTTAAGCTTGATAGTGGCATGTTGCCTTGTTCAGTGCATTATATCGGTGCTGAGGCCAGGAAGGTGAACTACGGACATTAATGAATTCAGTGTAAGCAGATGTTTGACAGCTTACTGAGGAGTGATGCATCTCAGCAGGATATACAGTGCATGCTGAAAGCTTACTGAAAGCATTCTTGAGGCATCGTGTTTGGTGTCCATTGAGAAGGACAGCAACATCACAGCAACAAAGACACTGAAAAAGTATTGTGACCAAATGTCACCGATGGATATTAATACAGTTTTAATGTGATGTCGTTACTGTGTTGAGTAATGTTTTGAAACGTGTTTAGGTGCTTAAGACTTGATTCCATGTTGACATAATTTCATAGTGCCATAGTTTGTTTGTTCATTTGGTTCAACACTTTTACTGTTGGAGTTCAGCTGTATCATACACTTTGTTTATTGCAGAAATATGATACTTCAGACTGTTGCATAGTAACAATATATTAATAGATGGTATGTCAATAATTTTCAAAATATATTTTTGAATATTTTAACGACTGAAAAATAAAGTCAAATATAGTATTTTGGCTGATAAATGGCTTGGTTGATAAAGGAATCTCTAAACTGTCTTCCAAAACTGTTCATGAATACGGACTAGACCTAGTGATATGTTGTGTAAATAGTGTATATAGACTTTCAACATGTCTTAACATCTTTTGAGATCTAATGATGTTCAGCATATTGTCATCAAGTGATTCAGTTATGTAACACAAGATTTCACAGTGAAGGAAGGTGACTTACGGATTTCAACTTATTATATTTTTCTGTGCAGCATGTTTATACAGGTGCTAGTACCTTATATCAGCAAGTGGACACATTTCCTTGATAGAGGGAGTCACACTTGTACTGAAACATTGCATTGAAAGAATATAGCAGTCATAATCCATAAGCCAACCCGGTCTTCACTGATACCACTGCTTCAAAATGTCACTATGGTTATAGCTTTTACTGTAATGCTTTACTTGTGCAATGGATTCATTTGTTTCTTAGTTAGGACTTACTTGGACTGAAATGTGTGTTTAATTAAAGTATTTTTTTATGTTTATGCAGTACGCATTTGTTTTACATTTAATACATCATTGATTGCCAAATTCCAAAATTTAAAAAAATTAAGTTTAGTTGAACTTAATTCTCACCAAGCCATGTGCACTCGATGTGAAGATGACAAATTCAAGCAGTGTTAGTAATAATGGATATTAGTCCAGTGATTTGAATATTTTAAATTTTTCCCATTTCAGATTTGAGGCAGAGTTTTTTAGTAAAAAAATCAGCTTAGGCCAAGAGTACTTACTTTTATGAACACGCCATTGTAAGAATTGTTTTCCAAAGATTATATGTGTATATGAAGATCTCCCATTCCATTACTTAGGTATTTATATCATGTTAATTACTGTGTTAATTTTCAATTAGAAAATTTTGATAATGCTACCTTCTAATCTGTTGGAGCTTTAACATTTTGTGGAAAACATGATTTTGTTTTGATTCACAATAGGTTTGCATTAAACTCAATATATATCGTCATAAGTTTTTAGACGTCATACGTTTTCAGATGGCCATGTTTATCGCGACACAGACATAACTGTCTTTTAAAAGTGAATGAGTTTTTGTTACAGTTGTTCATGTGATTTGAGAGAAAACTATGTATTTTTCTTAAGCATCCGAAAAGCCACAACACAGGGATATAGTGAGGGATAAGTATTGTATTATATATTATTGTAACAAATTTAGCCAATTTTTTTATTTTGTGGTTAAAATTTAATAAAAAGTTCTCCCTGTACATGTTTTTGATATTTAGATAATATATGATCCTTTACAATGAAAGCTACTAACAGTTTAATGAGCTTATGATAAAGGGCTTATTTACCTCATGATATTGTTGATACATGGAACAAATTGTCTCGTTCAAACGTCGCTCGCTTTATTGATCATTATCATGGCTGTAGACGTGTTCAGTTCCATCATTTCACAGTCAGAGGTTGTGCTTTTGTCCTTTATGTTTAAGATCAAGTTGAAATCTTGATGTTTTATTAAGTTTTACTATTTTACTCATATTCTCAAGCATGCAAGTGCTGATTTCGTTAATCCTAACATCACCTGTGATTCTAACTGTGGCACTCAGTACAGCTAGTTATGCCAGTTTTGAAATAGCTTATTGATTCTGTTGGTGTCACTGTCAGCACAACTACACAAAGGTACTCCGGGTTCTTTTCTGAATACACAAAGGTACTCTAGGTACTTAGCTGAATACACTAATGTACAATAACTTGGCAATATGTTCACTTGGAGTGTTCACTTGGAGTGTTCACAAATGCACAAATATGGCTTCTGTACTCAGATATTGGTTAACTTGGTGTACATAGAACACGGCAGACAGTTCCGGTACCTTTCCCGACAGTGACACCATCATCCTTGTTGCCCAGTACTGGACAGAGGAGGGTGGGAACTCTTTAAAGGGAGGACATTATGTGAATACCAGCAGCGGACTAACACCATGCTGATGTTTTGACGACTTTATTTGTTGCTTCCATTGCTTATGTTTTATTTTGTTACATTTTTGCGCACAAACTTCTTTCATGAGCATATTTGCAATTGCTACTCGACTTTTGCAGGTCATTGTTGGTCTTGTACATAGTTCTTTGTCTTTAAGGTACATGTTTTGTGGCGTGTATGTGATTTTGTACATGTGGTTTACTGAAAATATTTCATTTACATGCTCTGAATAGAAAACTACATTGAAATATTTTGGTTTTGAACAAAATGTTTAACACATTAATAATACTTGAAAATTCTAAGGATAAACATTATGTGTTTGATATTCTATTTTGAATATTTCATGTTTCTTTTTTTTCAATATTTACCCTCTTATGGTATTACTTGTGAACTGATATCAAGATATATGATTTTGTATAATTGATCTCTAATTAGTTTACAAGTTAACAGATGTCATAGCATCTTGAGAGGCTTCAAAATATACTGCTAACAACTTTGAAAAATTGAAATTGGATATGTAATGACAGTATGACATGAAAGACAAATGGTTCATCAAGGCCAGAGTTGTTCCAGACAAGTTGTTCTGTAACATTATTACAAAATGGGAGAAAAGCTTCCAACTTATCACTAGTCTCAGGCTCTTGGACTAGTGTTTGGTCTGACCCTGCTTGTGTTACTTGGGTGCTACTGTGTTATGGAGGTGTTAAGGGGACAGTTTTTGTTGTCAACAGGCATGTCAGATCCTGTTTCATTGAGATGAGGATGCAGAAGCCACCATGACACATTTGCAGTCACAATTTGGTGCAGGACGAGCTGTGCCTTCAGCTTGATTGAAGGAGTTTGTTGAAACAACGGTTGAAGGTGTAAGATGAGGTTTGCATGTACACGATGTTCAATTATTTGCACAATGTGTTGCTGTTAGTACTGCAGAAAGGGCACCTCCGCGACAGTTGTCAGCTATAAATAGTGTCAGAGTAGATGACAGAGAGACATATCTGTACATTATCCACAGTCGGGAACCAGCCTATATGAGTGTTCCTTCACTTGATAGGGAGTGATGTGTGCTGTGTGAAGCCTAGAGAACTGTGTGAGCACTAGAAAACTAACGTCATGATTGATGCAGATATGTTTAGTGTCAAAACTAACATACATAGAAACCGTAACAGATATTCATAAAACATAGGACATGGGGGAAAATGTGAATCTGTCAAATGAAATCTTGCACATGGAAAAATATCATTCCCTTATCAACTCTGATATTACAACTGGAAAGCTTGTAAAAAGGCATGTGTGCAGACCTGAAATGTTTAGATACAATGACCTGGGTACTAGCATGACATGGAGGGAGGATAGACACAGGTGTATTGACCCGGGTACCAGCATGACATGGACGGAGGATAGACACAGGTGTATTGACCCAGGTACCAGCATGACATGGACGGAGGATAGACACAGGTGTATTGACCCGGGTACCAGCATGACGTGGACGGAGGATAGACACAGGTGTGACATGATATAACCTCCTATTTCGCCAACAATCCCAATAAATGGGGCACATTTTGCCAAGTTTGTATCAATTAAAGCATTCAGTAGCATTAATGGAACCACTTGAAAATTCATTAATGTGGAAATTATTGTTCAATTTGGAAAGTATTGAACTGGCTTTGTTGGTCTGCTTGCCGTGGCACAAATGTATGTCCATGTAGTTAAATCTGTGGAATTATCGTCAGATGGTTTGTAGAGGAAGTGAATGGTGGATGTGAAAACAGTTGCAGATAAAAAAAAAGCAAAAAAATGAAAGGTATCCAAATGTCATATTTGACTTGGTAAGTGCTATCTTGGGCTTCGTGTTCCTAATTGTTTTAATATGATAGTCCAATATTTGATAAGTTTGAAAGACTGTTTGTTGTTTAAATATACCACTCAAAAGAAGTTAAAGAACACCTGTTCCTTTCATATTACCATAGTTAATATGTCTTGCCATGATTAACTATATTAACATGAAAGAATCAGGTGTATATCTATTAATTCATTAGGACACTTTGCCTTGTTAACTGCGTCGGATTTGGCATGAGTAACAAGGGGATACGTTGATGTGTGGTTTGATAGCCACTGTGATGGTGAAGGATTTCAGTCAATTTATATGTTAACAGTTAAATATTTTTAATTGGAAATAATTGGTCACATTTCATGGTGAGGGTATCAGCAGATCAAAATTATTACAATTTGTGATGTAAGGAATGATTTGACATAATTTCTTTATCTGACTTTAATGGTCTTGTCAAGACAATGAAACTGAGAAAGAGTTAATTAATTGAAGGAGAAATTATTATGATTTCTTACATTTTTGTCAGGTTCATTGGACTTTTGACAAGACACAGAGTTTTGGACAAATAATTTGTATTTTGAAAACCTCATGTATATGCATAGTATATTCTGTAATGGGCATTTAGCAAAGTGAATCTTACAGTACATGAAATTTTCCTTTGAAAAGATCCTAAAGTAAGATTGCATATATTGTTTGAGTCACTGTGTATAGTATGTAGACATTTCCGTATTGTTTTATAGCTCTGTAGTTCGTAGAGTGTGATGGTGTTTGTAGGTTACTGTTTGAATGATTGTCTATACAAATCTGAATACATCTGTATGAATAAATATTTTATACTACTCAATTTTGAAAAGGATATTCCGATATTGATATCTCATTCTTATGAAACAATAGACAACAACTTGCGAAAATGCGTACTTTGGGTTATTTAACTTGAAATGTCTGTTCCTTGGCAGTATTAGATACTATTAGTATGACAACATTTCTAAGTGTTCCAGAATTCAGATATAATCTGTTAAAGTTGAGTAGTATAATTTTTATGGTTTGTTTGGCTTTGCATTTAACATTTTAGATCCCAAGGCTCTACTTTTGTTTAGATGTGTCAGATTGTATAGGATATTCCAAATGAGCTGCCCCAGTCCAGTGGTTAGGAGCCAGTTCAAAGTATGCCAGGGGGCACGTGTGGCCCAGTCGTCTAAGGCTGTGATTCGCTATGCAGAGTTACGTCCCTTGGGCACGCCAGAAACCTATGATTGTGGGTTCGCCCCGATTAGGTTTCTAGGTTTGTCAGCACCATACCCGTGCTCGTGGGTTTCACCGAAGTGGTAAACATCTGGGACCTGCATCACTTCTGGCTTTCCTCCCACATTGAGGTCCTAAAAACTTTGGATAATATCTGGAGAAACATCCTTGATTATGCAGGGTATTGTATGTCCATTTTGTTAAGATAAATATCCTTAACCCATTTGCCAGTTTAGCTTTGCTTAGGAAGTGAACCAATCTCTATCTAACTGTCACTGACACAGAAATCTCTAGGTCATGTGCTTGAAATCAAAAGCCAATCAAAATGCCTCTTCTGCATTCAAAACCTTGGCCTTGTTCTGGCTGTACTTGAGATGGCACTTAAAAGTCCTGTCGAGTACTGGCGCTATTGTTTCAGTGGTTGAGAATTGTGAGAAGTGATTGGACGTCTACTTTTAGTGTTGTCCTTCGAACTGTACTCAGTAAAGTTATGGTGGTGAATTGGTTCAGTCATATCAGAATAGAATGGAGATAGGATACACTGGAAAATCGAGGATGCTTGTGAAGTTGCGATCAATATGTTTGTATTCAGATTTGTAAACGTTTGTTTGGTGTGACGATTTTGCACTTTCGTAGTAAATAGAGGGCCCATGTTGGATGACCCAATGTTGTAGAAGTCTTACCAGAGCTTAATATCAATACACTATTGGGGCAAACAGGGAAACCTTCTTAGCCCCAATGTAGTATTGTTAATAGGTAATGGATTCACTTAGGAATCTTGTGTGATTTTTAGACATCTTGTTTCTTGTGTTTCTGCGAAAATATTTGCAGGCTACTTGTTGCTTTGAGACAGTTAATGTCCAGTGTTACTGGACTTGTGGTACATTTGGTTTTGGATCAGCATTCGGTCATTTTCCAGTTTTCCAGTTTGGTGTTGTCACACGTACTTTCTCATCTGTGTATATTGACATATAATGCTCAATACAAACTTTACCTATTTTTTACATTTACATTTTGCTATGTTATTGAGCTTGTTCCAATGGGATGTTGAAGATTCATTGTCAAGGCATCTGTATCTCTTAACATGTATGCTCTGTATTCCCATATGGAAATAAACTTCCAAGTGATCACCTGTGTTAGTTGTTTTTCAGCAAGCCCAGCACCATACCCATGCTTGTGGGTTTACCAAAGAAGCTAATAAACATCTAAGGTATTGACCTTTCGATATTCTTGTATGGGGGGTGCGGGGATTTTTTCAAAATAATTGTCCCAGTAAATGCTAGAAAACGAATAGTTATGCTTTAGACTGTAGGAAAAGAAAGCAATTGTCAACCACAAAAATACGCTGTCTCAAGATGTTTTCTTGAAAAAATTATGTGCGTCCATAGTTTTAAATAAAAAAAAATATCTAGTCTCAATAAGAATTACAAGGCACCCCCCAAAATATCAAACGTTCATTCCCTAAGACCTGCATCACTTCCGGCTTTCCTTGCACATCAAGCTGACACACTGTGATATAACTGGACTACTGTTCACAGTGGTGTTAAACCCAATTTACCACACATAACACAACTATACCCTTGATGGTACTCCCTCTACTTGAGGAGTAGATGTTATAACAGAACCATCTGGGTGTATTGAATATACTATATATTATAATATTACAGCCTTTATTATTTACATGCGTAAATGCCCATTTAGGCTCATTTTCGAGATAGAGAAATCAGACATACTGCTCTGAATGCTTTCCTGGATCATACAGAGAATTTAGAAGTCTTGATGCTCATTGACTGAGCGATCTATCAAAACTTTGTCAGATCTTCACGAAGAAATGGTAACGTAAAACATCTTGTTTAAGCAAGTGGTCTCGTAAACTAAGGCAGGGTAGTAAGTTCACAAACAAGAATGATATTCTGAAAGACAACACGCAGTTCGTTAAAATAAACAACATAGAATTAGCTTATTCATTCGAATCCCCACCTCCTTCAAAACATTTGCAGGCTGGTGAGGTACCGTGTGGTTAAAGGCCCATCACTCACAGGCCCAGGTTCGATTGCCCACATGGAGAAATATCATTATTGGTGTCCCATTGCAGTTATGTGGCTGGAATAGTGGTAAAAATGGCCTGATCTCAACTCACTTACTCAAAATATTTCAAGGACTTGGGACATAAGGCACATGTGGCCTTGTGGATCTGTGATATTGCCGGACTGGAAAAATATACCTCCAACCAAATACATGAGAAGGCAAATGATTCATGGGTAACACTTTGTTTAATATAACAAAAACATTTAATATTGGATGCATACACCTGCCAAGAGAAAACAATTGTAAGAGGAAAACAAAACAAAGACCACTTCAACCTCACCTTGAGGTTGCCTTTATACCAATCTCTTCTCCAAAACCATTGGACATGTTGCTTTCAAATTTCAGTGGATGTTCATAAGATCCCTCTTTACAAGTGTTGAATAAAATCTTCAGTCAAACACAATTTTTTCCACTCCTTCAAATGTTTGGTGGTCCAGACCCGATCAATGACAGGATGCTGAAATACTGCTGGAATATTACTGGAATGTTGCTGGACTATTGCTGGAATACTACTGAAATACTGCTGGAATGTTGCTGGACCATTGCTGGAATACTACTGAAATACTGCTGGAATGTTGCTGGACCATTGCTGGAATACTGCTGGAATACTGCTAACTGTGGCAACAATTAAAACAACAATTAATCACTTCACTTCACTTCTTAAAAATTAAGAGAATGTTACGAAAATAATAATACATGGTATATTATGTAAAGGCGTCTTAATAAGCTTGCACAGGTTTGTCTGTTTCAGTTCCGAATATCTTATTGCCGTCATGCTAGTATAGAGAGCTCCGCATACTGACTATCGCTGTGAGGAGCTTGAGCCAGCGATGTGTTTACATTACCATGACGACACTAAAGGCGATTAGACGGACACGCATAGTGTGTTCAAAAGATGGCATCAGCATATATACACATGTAATGTGTTGAGGGAATGAGCCGCCAACAGTGGTCAGAACTTTTGAAATAGTAGTTAAAAGAGGTAAAAATGCACGTGTCCATTTGCTCGATAATGTCAGCAGCTGATCACTCGTATCGGGCACCTGTCGGTACTGACAACATATCTGTGGTTGATTGGCAGATTCAGCGATGTTTTTACTTGTTTTCACGTGCCCAATATTGTTTCAAGTCATGTTACTTTGGTCTAAATTCATTCTTGATTGTATGCTCATTATATATACATTTATGCAAATGTATAGCACGTACAGAACAGTCAAATAAATCATTTTGCAGTATCGTATCTCAGGATATTACACGAACCACAGGATCATTTTGCGAAAATCATGCATATTCATGGACACGATGCCTCGAAAGGTGATTTGGATGCATGAATTTCGATATAAAGCCCTGTACCAGAATATGCATCTATACAACAGCGAAGTTAAATCTTCCAGTACGACTTCACCTGTCTTTAATTGATTGATGGCATATGTTTTTCAGGATGAAATTGATATAAATTTGTAAATTAAAATAAAATGCCAAATATTCTGTTCAGGCCATAATTCATATATTATTACAAGTTTTATATACAGGTAAGGTATTTTAAAATTGGGTGTGCCCTATCCTGTTTTAATACATGTTTTATTTAAAAAAAAAAAAAAATTGTTCATGTGCATACATTAAATGTTGATGGATGTCCTGATGGATATGAGTGTTTGGTAGAACTACACGTAGCCAGATGGAATATATTTCAAGTAAAACAACACGGCCTGTAGGGCAATTTTTTTTCATCTATAGGTGCATAAAGACAATAAATTTTGTTTGTTTGTTTGTTGTTTAACGCTGCACTCAGCAATATTCCAGCTATATGACAACTTTCTGTAAATAATCTTGTCTGGACCAGACAATCCAGTGACTGACATCATGAGTAACAGTCCACGCAATTGGGATACGATGACATGCTTCAACCAAGTCAGCAAGCCTGTACACCTGATCACGTTAGTTGCCTCTTACGACAAGCATAGTGTAGACAATAAAATGATGCAAGGCAAGTGTTTGGTAGTGAGTCAGGCAGGAATGAAAATCTAATAATGAATTCATTATGACTTCAAAGATTCTTTGAAGATTTGTATTAATTCTTGTCCAAGAGATTAAAACAAGTAGAATATGCAAATTATAGATTCATAATATGGGTCAGTGGGCATTTTCATAACTTTTATGTTATTGAATTTCAACATCAGCAATGATTGGGGAATATAAAGATTACTGAGTAAATAAAACAATGTTATAAATTATTTATAGAACATTAACTAAAACTGGACTGTCACAGCAAAATTACTTTTATGTGAACAGAAGAAGCAAACTTGAAACCATGTCATGTACCAGACATAATATATTGTTATTCCGAAATGAGGCAAGTGACTATGGTTTTATGCCACTTTAGCAATATTCCAGCAATACCACAGCAGGAAACACGACTTCACACATTGTACCCATCTGGGGAATTGAACCCGGGTGTTTGGCGTGAAAAGCCCCCAATACGTAATCACCTCATATCATCTAATTTACCATTTAATTTCTGGTGTTGTGATTTACAGATTACGATGTCACAATCAAGGGGCACGAGTTCCAAGAATAAATGTAAGTGAAACCTTTGTGAGTGAGTGAGGGAGGGAGGTAGGGAGGTCCAGATTGTGTAAGCTTCAATATAAAACGTAATGAGATCATATCTATATTTGAGAGTTCTACTGTTTCCAGCGGTGTTTGTTTTACCTGTATTATTCTCATTAACTTCAGCTTCTGCACCTCCATCAAAGAGGGTATCCTCGTTTCAGATCACAAACAACACACCTGGACAGGTGAGTATTTGTCTGTACCCCATTTATTGTTTCAGATACACTCGTGTATATGACATATTGATGAATGTTGTATTTCCTCTAATAGGCAACAAGTGCTAAATTAGTTCATCAAGCTCCCTAGAGATTCTCAAGGAACAGCAGTTAAAAGAGGCCTGACATTAGTATTTTCTACAGTAAGAAGACATTAATGTTTTACCACACCTGTATGAACGTCAAGTGAGCTTATGCGTTGTCCATTATCTGTCAGCCTATTGTTACTTTTGCATTTTCGACATTTCCTCGGAAACTAGGAGGCCTATAAATACTCAAGTTTGCAGGAATGACCCCAGCTATGATGTCTCTAAACAACTCACAGAATTCTGATTAGATTTTAAACATGAAAATGCCTTTTTCAGCATTACTCAATACCATCATGACATTTGCTATGCAGCCAGTAAGTGATTTATTGGAATAAAATATAACACATTTTTTGTCCTATTATGATTTTTGATACAGCTATGACCATTCACTTTCATGTATTTGTACTCCAAACAATATTGCTTTTTTTTTTTCGCGAACCTTCAGAGCCCCATGGGTCTCTGTTTTAGTGTTAGGTCAGACCTGGCATTTATTGAAAATGATGGCATTTATTAGTGGATATATGCCAAGTTTTGAGACTCATCACTAGGCACTCACTGGTCATGTCTTGAGTCTTCTCTCATTTTGAGTAACCATAATGAGAGTCCACTAGTTGCCCATAACATAGTGAAGCGACATTTTATTTGTTTTTCATTTTCAAGATTCAAACAATCAGTAAATGAAATAAAAATAGTTTGAATTTATTATTCTTTGACATTTTTTTCTAATGGAAAATTAAGATTCAGCCACAGAAATGTAAAAAACAGTAACTGTTAACTCGTTAAGTAATAATTACATAATTTATATCACTGTTGACAAAATGCCTTAGAAGTTATTAGATTCATACATGTAGATATCAATGAATACAATATTAAACAACCCTGCATTTAAAACAGAATAAGGATTTATATTGCCACACTAAACCAACAAACTTAAAAGTTGATGCCACATGAAAGGAAATCTTATTGAGATACACCAATGTATTTCCTTTCTACCTAGCCAAGATAATTGGTTTGCAAATAAATGTGAAACAGTGAATAAAAATGTGTGCCCTGCTTTTAACGTTTCACCACATAGTAGGAGCATTGTAAATATATTTTGGGTTTTGAATTATTTCAGCTGCCAGTCCTTGGTAAAAGTACTGGAAAAAATGGCCCAAGGAGTTCCAAAGGGTAAGTATCCTCACAATGTTATATATTCAATTTTAATAAAAAAACAAACTAGGTGAGATCTGATGGGGAACACTGTTCAGTGTAAAACAACCAATAAATCTATCGTAAGTTTTACTCGAGATGAGTCAAATCAAATTTTTATTGTGAAAAAAAAGGCAATGATATCGGTGACAACATAATCATGCTGATGAGGTAGCTGACAGTCTAGTGCATGAGCTAATGACCCGGGCAAAGCCAAGGACCAGGAAGTAGTTTAGTAATAATAGTACAACTGGCATACAGTTTGAATACATGTAAAAAAGTCAATTAGTTGCTGGAACTAAATATAATTAACGTAGAATGTAAAAAAACTGCTTTGTGTAAATGACCAAACTAAACTTACATTTGGCGTTCTACATGCTTTGACAATCACTGAGTGAGCAACTAAACTTATATTTGGTGTTCCACATGGCATTCCACTGAGTGAGCAACTAAACTTACATTTGGCATTCCACATTCTCAGACAAAAACTGAGTGAGCAACTAAACTTACATTTGGCATTCCACATGCTTTGACAATCACTGAGTGAGCAACTAAACTTACATTTGGCATTCCACATGCTTAGACAATCAATCAGTTATCAACCCAACTTATATTTGGCATTCCACATGATTAGACAATCACTCAGTTATCAACCCAACTTATATTTGGCATTCCACATGCTTTGACAATCAATCAGTTATCAACCCAACTTACATTTGGCATTCCAAATGCTTAGACAATCACTAAGTTATCAACCCAACTTATATTTGGCATTCCACATGCTTAGACAATCACTGAGTGAGCAACTAAACTTACATTTGGCGTTCCACATGCTTAGACACTCACTGAGTGAGCAACTAAACTTTGATTTGGCGTTCCACATGCTTAGACAATCACTGAGTGAGCAACTAAACTTACATTTGGCATTCCACATGCTCAGACAATCACTCAGTATGCAACACAACTAACATTTGGCGATCCACATGCTCAGACAATCACTGAGTGAGCAACTAAACTTACATTTAGCATTCCACATGCTTAGACAATCACTGAGTGAGCAACTAAACTTACATTTGGCATTCCACATGCTCAGATAATCACTGAGTGAGCAACTAAACTTACATTTGGTGTTCCACATGCTTAGACAATCACTGAGTGAGCAACTAAACTTACATTTGGCATTCCACATGCTCAGACAATCACTCAGTATGCAACTCAACTTACATTTGGCGTTCTACATGCTCAGACAATCACTGAATGAGCAATTAAACTAACATTTGGCGTTCCACATGCTCAGACAATCACAGAATGAGCAACTAAACTTACATTTGGCATTCCACATGCTTAGACAATCACTCAGTATGCAACCCAACTTACATTTGGCATTCCACATGCTAAGATGTAACAGTGCATTTTGCTATTGAGACAGGGAAAATAATGATAATCATCACTTCAATTCCAGAAGCTCAGCCGCTAAGCAGGTGAAGGAAGAGGTCAGGACGAAGCCAGCTGGGCCAAATGGTATGTCTGGAGAAGTTTGCAGAAATAATTTTTCAATCTATGTAGGTTGTTGTCTTCATGTATTTCGTCATCTACAAATGTTCCAATGATTTTGGCCCCATTGCATAAAGTGATCCGACCACTATGACTGTCAAATATCCAGTATAAGCACAGTTGAATTTATGATAGTTGAGTGCAAAGATATCTTTTTGGAATATGGCTCTTGTGACGTTACAGTTATTTTAATATGATTTGATATTTTCTAATTAATTTTATATGCATGTATTTATAATATCTTCTGTCCGATCGTTTTTGTATGCCACCACTGCGGGGACCTGAGGTACAATGTGTCCCTAGTATCCATTTCCTAGTCATCAGAGGTGATTAAACTAGGAACACATTGGCTTTGGTCCCTTGCAACCTGGACTGGTTGTAACACGTGACAAAATGGATCGGGTGGTCAGCTCGGTGACTTGGTTGATGGCGTGTCAACGTACCCCCAAACTTGGATCATTGCTCATAATATCAATCACTGGATTGTGTGGTTGTCTTTATTATTTGAAGGCTGCCATCATATAGCTGAGTGAGGTGATGTGAAATGGGGTTTAACGTCGCGTCCAAGATTATTGCACTTATATAGCAACGTGCATGCACATGTGTGTGTGTGTGTGTGTGTGTGTGTGTGTGTGTGTATGGCTGCTTGTACTTGTCCTGACTGGTGCTGATTTATAGTGCTAGCCCACTGAGATACCATGCCGCAGTTTAACATGAATACCCCCCTCAGACACAGTATACTGACTCCAAGCCGACCAGTCCTTGTTTTACCCCCTTAATGCTGAGTGCCAGACAGGGTAACAACAAGTACCATCTTTTAACGTCTTTTGGTATGATGTGGCCGGGGATCGAACCCTAGGCCTTCCACTCTCCGAGCGGGCGCTCTACCACTAGACCACTGAAGCGGTCCATCATATAGCCGGAATATTGCTGAGTGCGGCGTTACGCAATAAACAGACAGAATTGATATAGATATAAGATTGAAAATGTTTCTCAGAAGTCACTGACACAGTGTTTAAAATAAAGTTGTCACATGGTGAGCCTAAGCTGTAATGTTTCTGTATGTAGACAAGCAGCCCAAGCCCCAGTATGATGAGGCCATGGAGAAGAAGTTTGATGCGATGCTAGAGGGGGACATGTCAGACCTCCTGCCCCTCCCTCGCTCCATCGTCCGCATCTTCATCAGCTCCACATTCTCAGGTAGTCTGTCATATATCTACAGGTATTTGCAGGTAACCTCTATGTGGCAATATCTACTGGTACACTCTATCAGTCAGGTATCTATGGGTAGCCTCTGTCATTTACATGGAATTTCCTCATGTCTTGATAATTACTTTGTGCAGATACAAAATGACCTTCTTAATGAGCAAAATGCCTCACAACCTTGGCGGACTAAGATACAAAATGTAAAACGCTTGTCTACTCATTGCAATACATTGTTGAATAAACTCAGGGGCAGCATAAAAAGAAATTTATATATACTGAACAAAATACTTTAAGGACCATGAATATGTTTTGGGGTATTTTGTATGAAATTGTGTGCCTGGTCTTAACTATATCCCCCAAAATATTCATGATCCCTAACTTGTTTTGATCAGTATAGAATGAGAATTTTGCGCTTGTGACATAAGACTTAGACATGGGGATGATATTATCAACATATGGTTTCTGCTGTTGAGACATGGGGACGATATTTTCAACATATGGTTACTGCTGTTGAGACATGGGGACAATATAATCAACATATGGTTTCTGCTGTTGAGACATGGGGACAATATTATCAACATATGGTTTCTGCTGTTGAGACATGGGGACAATATAATCAACATATGGTTTCTGCTGTTGAGACATGGGGACAATATTATCAACATATGGTTTCTGCTGTTGAGACATGGGGACGATATTATCAACATATGGTTTCTGCTGTTGAGACATGGGGACAATATTATCAACATATGGTTTCTGCTGTTGAGACATGGGGACGATATTATCAACATATGGTTTCTGCTGTTGAGACATGGGGAAGTTATCAACATATGGTTTCTGCTGTTGAGAGATTGGGATGATATTATCAACATATGGTTACTGCTGTTGAGACTTTTGGACGATATTATCAACATACGGTTACTGCTTTTGTAGACATGCGAGCTGAACGTAATGCACTGTCACGTGACGTCTCACCCATACTACGGTCATTCTGCTCAAGCCTTGACCTTGACCTTCAGTTGGTTGACCTTCGGTGGGGCCTGACAGAGGATACACAGAACGACCACTCGGCTGAACGCCTGTGCCTACAGGAAGTGAAGAACTGTCAGAATGTGTCGCTAGGACCAAACTTCATTGTAAGTCATTGCAACAGTTTCAGAATATGACAAGAGGGGAAAGAAAAAAGTCATTTAATGAATATCATTAAAATAAAAACATTATATATTTCATTAATTGTTAACCCAATATTTGTTTGTTTTTAATGTGTCACTCAGTAACATTCCATCAATATGATAGTAGCCTGTAAATAATTGAATCTGGACCAGATAAACTAGTGATTGTTACTTAGCCTGACCACCCGATCCATTTAGTTGCCTATTACCACAAGCTATGTTGGTAGGGATGTGTTCTAACCTGGAGCCCGCATAAGGTGAATTACAGTATAATTAGAAGTTTGTCATCTTGTTTTATGGGTCAACCTTCTCCAAAAGGCAAAAAAACCCAACTTTTTGCACATTTTTAGTTTGTAGTTTTGTCTTTGCTTGTATTTCAAGAGCTTTTTTTCAGGAAATCAACTTGTACATCTTACTTTTATGAAGGAAATTTGATAGCAAGATAACAACTTGTTCTAGCCTAGAAAATATATATGTCAAGTAGACATCCTTTTACCTCCAAATATCATGAACACATTCTACATTCATCATAAATCAATGTCCTGAATATATTGATAGTCACTTTCAGACCCAAAATAGGATTTTATTGACAGTTTTCATACAATGAACCATTACGAGATTGGGTGGTTGGACTCGCTGACTTGGTTGATGCATGTCATTGTAGCCCAGTTCTGTAAATCGATGCTCATGATATCAATCAATGGATTATCTAGTCTAGACTTGATTATTTATGGCAACTGTCATTTAGCTGGAATATTGTTCTGTGCAGCATTAAACAAACAAACAAACAAACAAACAAACAAACATACAAACTCTTGTTTTTATCTTTGTTTCTCTTTCGACAGAGTATACTGAGTGAGAGGTATGGTTTTCGGCCTCTACCTACGGAGGTACTGTGTCCAGAGTTTGAGATGCTGCGATCAATAGCATCACGTCAGGGACTGGATGTTGCCCTGTTAGACGCCTGGTACAAGAGGGATGACAATGCTATTCCACCTGAGTTTGTGTTACAGGTAGGTGTGATTACTCTTGAGTGAGTGAGTGAGTGAGTTGGATGTTACTCCCCTTTTAGCAATATTCTAACCACCAAGAGCACCTTCACAAGTTAGGAATCAAACCCAGGTCTAAATGAATCGACACTTTAACAACTGGACCGCCTCTGTGGTCTTGTGGTAGAGCGTCCGCCTGGAGAGCGTAAGGTCCGGGGTTCCCGGCTGCTTCATACCAACAGACGTTCAAAGATGGTACTTGTTGTTACCCTCTCTGGGGCTCGGTATTAAGGGGCTAAAACAAGGACTGGTCGGCTTGGAGTCAGTATACTGTCTGAGGGGGGTATTCATGTTAAACTGCGGCATGGTATCTCAGTGGGCTAACACTATAAATCGGCATCACACACACACACACGCACACAGGCTCACACGCTCACACGCACACACACGTCCATGTATGTTGCTATATAAGTGCAATAATCTCAGACACAACGTGTTACCCCATTTCATCTCACATCACCTTTAAGGACTAGGCTACCCTACCACCCTTCCATTACTCGTGAAGGGGCGGTGGGGTAGGCTAGTGGTTTAAGTGTTCCCTCGTCACTTTGAAGACCCGCGTTCCATTCCCCACATTGGTACAATGTATGAAGCCCGTTTCTGGTGTCCCCCGCTGTGATATTTATGGAATATTTGCTAAAAGCGACGTAAATCAATACTCACTAACGTACTCACTTGTTAAATTACACAACTTATGCTCAATATTTGTAACAAAGTGAACTATAACACATGAAGGGACTGTTTGTTTGTTTGTTTGTTTGTTGTTTCAAAGTTGCACTCATCAATGTTCCAGTTATAGGTTTGTAAATAATCGAGTTTGGACCAGTCAAGCCAGTAATCATTCATGTTGTTCCTGCCATAACATCACTGACTTACTGTTGAAGAGCTGACAATGCTCTTGTTGACTGGCAGTTGTGTACATCAATGGGTGCAAAATGTAGCATTCTGATTGGCCATGTCCAAAACATAAATGTTTCATTTCAAATATATTTTGTTAAATATCTTCCAATGTGAACAGGGGTGGTAGGGTAGCCTAGTGGTTAAAGCGTTCGCTTGTCACACCGAAGACTCGGGTTTCGAATCCCGACATGGGTACAATGTGTGAAGCCCATTTCTGGTGTCCCCTGCCGTGATATTGCTGGAATATTGCTAAAAGCGGTGTAAAACCATACTCACTCAATCCAATATGAACAATTCCTTTTCTAGCAAAATTGTCATTTTTAAACTTTGTAGCCAATCAGGTCCCAGTTCCCACATTTTGGAGACTACAGCCAAGGAAGTGAGGATCTACGACAACGTGCCATGGAATCGTGGCAAACTGCTTTCACATCGATGTTGTCCATTGTCCGTGAAGCAGCCAGACTACTGCATGAAGAGGGGAAGCTGTCTGAGGAACAGAGGCACATGTACTTTAAGTCAGGTGAGTGAGGATGGTAGTAGACTGCTTTCATCAATATTCCAGCAATATAAAGATATACACAAAATCCAGGTCTTTGGTATAATGAGTGAACACTCTAAACACTTGCCTACCCACTGCCCACGTTAAGAGATTGGTTGGATTGGTCTTTCTTATATTACATGAATTCAGATGCCCCTCCTCCCCTCCTCCCTCATCTTTCAGATGCCCCTCCTCCTCTCCTCCCTCATCTTTCAGGTTCCCTCCCCCTTTCCTTCCTCATCGTTCAGGTGCCCCTCCTCTCCTCCTCCCTCATCGTTCAGGTGCCCCTCCTCCCCTCCTCCCTCATCGTTCAGATGCCCCTCCTCCCCTCCTCCCTCATCTTTCAGGTTCCCTCCCCCTTTCCTTCCTCATCGTTCAGGTGCCCCTCCTCCCCTCCTCCCTCATCGTTCAGATGCCCCTCCTCCCCTCCTCCCTCATCTTTCAGGTTCCCTCCCCCTTTCCTTCCTCATCGTTCAGGTGCCCCTCTTCTCCTCCTCCCTCATCTTTCAGGTGCCCCTCCTCCCTCATCTTTCAGATGCCCCTCCTCCCCTCCTCCCTCATCTTTCAGATGCCCCTCCTCCCCTCCTCCCTCATCGTTCAGATGCCCCTCCTCCCCTCCTCCCTCATCTTTCAGGTTCCCTCCCCCTTTCCTTCCTCATCGTTCAGGTGCCCCTCTTCTCCTCCTCCCTCATCTTTCAGGTGCCCCTCCTCCCTCATCTTTCAGATGCCCCTCCTCCCCTCCTCCCTCATCTTTCAGGTGCCCCTCCTCCCTCATCTTTCAGGTGCCTCTCCTCCCCTCCTCCCTCATCTTTCAGGTGCCCCTCCTCCCTCATCGTTCAGGTGCCCCTCCTCTCCTCCTCCCTCATCTTTCAGGTACCCCTCCTCCCTTCCTCCCTCATCTTTCAGGTGCCCCTCTTCTCCTCCTCCCTCATCTTTCAGGTGCCCCTCCTCCCTCATCTTTCAGATGCCCCTCCTCCCCTCCTCCCTCATCTTTCAGGTGCCCCTCCTCCCTCATCTTTCAGGTGCCTCTCCTCCCCTCCTCCCTCATCTTTCAGGTGCCCCTCCTCCCTCATCGTTCAGGTGCCCCTCTTCTCCTCCTCCCTCATCTTTCAGGTGCCCCTCCTCCCTCATCTTTCAGATGCCCCTCCTCCCCTCCTCCCTCGTCTTTCAAATGGCCCTCCTCCCTCATCTTTCAGGTGCCTCTCCTCCCTTCCTTCCTCATCTTTCAGATGCCCCTCCTCTCCTCGTCCCTCATCTTTCAGATGCCCCTCCTCCCTCATCTTTTCAGGTGCCCCTCCTCCCTCATCTTTCAGGTACCCCTTCTCCCTCATCTTTCAGGTGCCTCTCCTCCCTTCCTTCCTCATCTTTCAGGTGCCCCTCCTCCCCTCCTTCCTCATCTTTCAGGTGCCCCTCCTCTCCTCGTCCCTCATCTTTCAGATGCCCCTCCTCCCTCATCTTTTCAGGTGCCCCTCCTCCCTCATCTTTCAGGTACCCCTTCTCCCTCATCTTTCAGGTGCCTCTCCTCCCTTCCTTCCTCATCTTTCAGATGCCCCTCCTTCCCTCCTTCCTCATCTTTCAGGTGCCCCTCCTCTCCTCGTCCCTCATCTTTCAGATGCCCCTCCTCCCTCATCTTTTCAGGTGCCCCTCCTCCCTCATCTTTCAGGTACCCTTCTCCCTCATCTTTCAGATGCCCCTCCTCCCCTCCTCCCTCATCTTTCAGATGCCCCTCCTCCCTCATCTTTCAGATGCCCCTCCTCCCTCATCTTTCAGATGCCCCTCCTCCCTCATCTTTTCAGGTGCCTCTCCTCCCCTCCTCCCTCATCTTTCAGGTGCCCCTCCTCCCTCATCTTTCAGGTACCCTTCTCCCTCATCTTTCAGATGCCCCTCCTCCCCTCCTCCCTCATCTTTCAGATGCCCCTCCTCCCTCATCTTTCAGATGCCCCTCCTCCCTCATCTTTCAGATGCCCCTCCTCCTTCATTTTTCAGGTGCCCCTCCTCTCTCATCTTTTCCCGTCCATCCTCACCAGCAGCAAATGAGAATGTTTTAATTTGTAGGAACTGTGATAATGTTATACCAAGTTTTTTGTTTTGTTTCAGTAACTGAATTCGAAACTGCTAAAGGAATATTTGAGGCTCCCAAGCCAAGCTCCCATTGTCTTCTGTATCGGCGGAAACTGACCGGGCTAACTGATGAACATTTGGAGGACAAGGATGCTCACAGATACATCAGTATCACTGATTCCCAGGGAAAGGTATGATAATGAATCCATACATCTGACACTGAGAAGCAGCTGACCATTATAATTCCCAGTAAGGTTCAAGATTGGACCTCATTTGTGAATATTCTACAGAATTGGGAAGAATGGTAACAGATTGGCATGTAGGGGTATTTCAAGTTTTGCACATAATGTATTGATGATGTAATGCTTCAGATTTGAAAAATAACTGGTTTACAGATATGCCAACCCTAAAAAATAGGACTAAAAAGTACACTATTTCTAATTCTGTTGAAAGTACACTGACCAACACTGCATATCTAACAAGTCTGTCTTAATGAACATGTAACAATGTATTCAAATGTTCAAAGAAGAGAATAAAAATCTTCTATATTAATGTTACAGTGATCGCTCGCTATTGCGCTACCAATGGGGTCCAAATAATTGGTGGGCGTTATAGACGATGAGCCGTTTAACCGAGGCCGAGGCGGGGGAGCGCGCTCGGCAAATCTCAAATCATCAATAGGCCTATGTGTTTATCTTACGTCACGTCAAAATAGTATATATTTTTATGGACCTAGATCTACCTGTAATATCATTCATTTATTAAATCTGTCATATTTCACAATGTCTGAAATACGTATTCCATTCTAATTTATCATTTTTTATCAATAAATTAAAAAATTATTCACTATTTCCCGCGATGTTATTGAAAATAAAATTCTCGGACACACATTTCGACAACGGGTCCGCATCGAACATGTCAAAGAGCAAAATAAAGACTATTTTAAGCAAATCTTTAAATATATTATACAAAGTGATAAATAAAATCAACAAAAATATATCTAAAAGTAATCAAACTTACATCTAAGTTATTATTTCCATCGTTTCGTGCGATCGCGTGTAATGTAAGTCAAATGACATCTCGGCTTTCGTCGCCTTGAATTCTCGGCTCGGACACAACGTTTAATGCAAAAATATATGCATGAAAAATCTTTGTCACAGCTCGTAACCTAGCACGATACATTCGCGAAGTTCCATATTTTTAATATATATCGTGATTTCCTGCTTAAAACGTTCAGAATAACACGATTTAACAAAAAATCTTTCGCTAACTTCTGAAATTTATCAAACACGAGCTTTGTATCAAAGCTTGATTGGCTGCCTGAGGTCACGTGCTCAAAATTGACCAATCTCGAAACTTGTAGCAGATTTCGGCAAGAAAGCGTCATTAGAAACAAATTTTAATCCAATGAAATCGCTTGTTATAACTACGGGGAAAAAACAGGCGATGTTACGAAAGCGCGATTACGAAATGAATGACCGCCGTGTTGTGACAGCAACTACATTTGTGTGACAGTTTAGCCTTAAATTGGATTGCCCACTAATTAAGAATATAAACTTCACTTGTGGTTCTCTTTTATTGCATGCATGCGCTTCTAAGATCAAAGGATGGAAAGTGTGAAAAGTTAACTAGTTGAACAATCGTATTTCCGGGACTTGCCGCGGATATTTTCAAACAGATTATTAGAACTCCATTCAGCGATAAACCGTTGATTATGCAATGAGAAGCGTTATGTGCAAATAAACAACGAACAACAATACAATCATGTCTGTGTAAAACTCTCAGTATTAAAAGTGTACATAAATTTTGGGAGCAATGCGTTACCGCGCGTAATAACCGAAGTAGCGCTTTATCGAAGAGCGCAATAGCGAGCGATCACTGTATTTTCTCCCACCTATGAACAATGATTTTCACACAAACAACTGTGGAACTAAAGTCTGTCCTAATTATTTATATTTATAACAATTAAAATAAACTGGGGGATGTTAATTTTCAGAAAACAGTTGACAAGAATATAGCTGCTTTACAGAAGGCCTCCATATCAAAGATTGTGAACATTCTGGGACCACAGAACTGCAAAACATTCAATGTTCCCTGGAAAAGCGGAGGTGTAGACCCTGTAGGCAATCCTGAACACAGGTCTTACATCAAGGATTTCAGCCTCAAACTTACGCAGGATGTGACAAATATGATCATGCTTGCCAAGAAAGAGCGATCGTCACACATCCGACAGAGGGAGTACTACTGTGGCTTGGATGAAACTCTTCACCATCTTCATTTCTGTAAGTCCAAGTGTGAGACCTTCTGTGGGCAGGAGGACATCCTCCAGAAGGTTAAAGATCACATTTTGTCAGGTCAATCTCGACAGCCTCTAACCATTTGGGCAGAGTCTGGTGCTGGCAAAACATCAGTCATGGCAATGGTTATGAAAAAGCTGAAATCTTGGATCAAAGGAGAGTATATTGGAATGATTCGGTTCCTGGGAACATCACCTTCTACACTCAACATCTATGATGTGCTATTTGATGTTTGTGGGCAGATTGCAGACTGTACAAATACAATCATGGAGCCGTTGTGCTACAAAACAATGGCCAGTCTTATTGAATATATTCCAAGGTTTCTCCGTAGCATATCTTCCACATTCAAAGATCCAATCATCATACTCCTTGATTCTATTGACCAGCTATCGAGTGAGAATGATGCCTACAGCATGTCATGGCTTCCGACCACCTTGCCCTCAAATGTTCATCTCATCCTCTCAACCCTACCAACAGAACATAGCATCTTGCCCAACATCAAGAAGAGACTGCCAGAATCGGCCATTTACATGGCAGTTCCAATACTTCCAGAATCCACTGGCAAGAAGATCATTGACAAGAATCTGAAACTAAGGCACCGCAGAATAACTGATGACCAAGTTCAGTTCATCATTGAGACCTTCTCCTATGCTCCTAGCCCTCTGTACCTGAAGCTTCTCCTTGATGAAGCCGTGAAATGGTCCTCCTTCACCCCTGTCAGTGACTTGAAACTTGCAGGATCAATCAGGGCTGCCATAAATGTTCTATTTGACAGACTTGAACAAAAGTTTGGGGAGATTTTGATACGCAATGCTCTTGGTTACATTACAGTTGGACTCAATGGATTATCCGAGATAGAGCTTGAAGATGCTTTGTCTTGTGACAATGAAGTTCTAGACGAAGTGTACAGGTTTCATGACCCTCCAGTTCCTGGTATGGTGAGGATTCCTCCAGTCCTCTGGGCAAGGATCCGCTATGACATCAAGGAGTACCTTGTGGAGAGGATGTCTCAGAACAAGATAACAATGTACTGGTATCACAGGCAGTTCATCATGTCAGCTTTGGTTCGATATGTTCCAGACAAGTTCCTTGAGAAGCTCCACTTGACATTGCTTCAGATATACCTGGCAGAAACAGGAGTCAAGAAGAACATTTACTTGTCACAAAGAAAGAAAGACTTCAAGGATGCAGATAGACAAGTCACTCCACAGCCAACCAGTGTCACAAATCTCCGGAAGTTGAAATGTGTAACACATCATCTGAACAATGCAGCAAGAGCAGTTGATGAAGAAACATTCAAAGGCTTAGTATATTGCAATATCCACTTCCTCAGCACCAAGATCACTGCCTGCTCTACTGGAGAGGTTGTCAAGGATATGAACACTTTCCTTAAAATAAGAAATGACAAAGAAGTTGAAACTCTAAAGACATTTCTTGAATCAAGCAAGAACAAACTGAAAAACCCATTGGTACTTGCAAGAAGTATTTTGGTGTACCTGAGACCTGAGAAGGATTCCATCTACCTGAAAAAGCTTGTGAAGGATGCTAACAATCTCCTAGAATCAAGTAAGAAGACTCTCCTGATTCCCACATTTCCTTGTCTGGCCAGCAGGACACCAGGTGTTGTGACCAACACACTCCTGGATGACCACCAGTACAGGTGCTTTGCTGTCGGCAGTGAAAGTAATCAGATCTTCACAGCAGGAGGGAATGGCAAAGTTGAAGTATGGTCAGTGAAATCAGGACATTTGGTCAAGTCATATGATGTGGGTTTCGCTGCAGATGAGCTTCATCTTGCTGGCAGTGGTATTGCCTTGTTGTACAACAAGGACATGAAAGCTCTGAAAGCAATCAGATCAGATTCAGGAGAATCTGTTTTGGAGGATATCATTCCGAAAAATGTTCTTTCATTGACTCTCTGTAGTGACAAGCTGACACTGTATGTTTTGGCTCAAGACAAAAAGGTTTCTTTGCATCAGTTGGATCTGAAGCAGGGCTTTGCTAAACAGACAATCCTTCAAAAGATGTTTGACTTCATCAGTTTGGAGACAGTCCTGAGTGCCTCAGAACGGTATCTAATTATCATGGCTGAGTGTACACCAGAAGACTACCAATCAATCAAAGAATCCTGGAAGAAGTCAGGTGCGTTTGCTTCACAACCTCATCCATACCGCTTTGCAGCAGTGGACTTAAGCCAAGGAACTGGCAACCTGCAACATTGCCTGAGGAATCTGTCGAAGATCCCCACCCTTGGAGAGACAATTTCAGCTTACAGGGGCAACACAATGCTGATCGCAGCACGTCGTCATGGAATATTTTGGGACATTCCAACAGGAAAATGTGATCAGCAGATGTCTAAAGGGAAGAAGTTGGTCATGGTGTACAGACCCGATTGGACTGGTGACAGCCAGTGCAAAGGAGCTAACACCTGCTTTGTGCATCCTCCAAAACAACAGTTTCTGGCTGTGGGGTCTGAAGATGGCTACCTCATCATCTACGGCTTTGAGTCTGGACTTCCTGTTGGGATGAAAGCCCCACCAACAAAGCATAACAAAGAGGTTAGTGTTTCTGTTCTTGAAAGTGTGTGAGTGAGTTGGGTTTAATGCCACCTTGAACAGCATTCAATTCAGTTAAATCACAGAATGTCTGTTTGATAGGAGGAAAGCCTGATGTAACCATGTCATTTATCTTTGAGCATGGGTATGGTGCTTTGTGGAACAGGTCCCAGTATTATAAACAGTGAAATAAATATCCCCAAGAGTAATGAAATGACAGTGACCCATCTCTTCCCAAAATTTTGAGCCAGTGAGTTAAGTCTGACACTGCTTTGAACAGTACTTCAGTAACACCAAAGTGGGTCAGCTTGATGGAAGGAAATCCTGAAGTGACCAGGTCATAGATCTATGAACATGGGTATAATGCTGACAAACAAAAGATCATAATCAGGGCAAATCTGGTGTTAGAACACACTGTCAGCAGAATCTGGTGAGGCCAATGGACAGAACCCTCTACAGAGAATAACACCTTAGACCATGTGTGCATGCAGGTCACTAAATAAGTGCAGTAATCTTGAACATGATTTTAAACCCCACCTCACCTTACTTTGGGCCCTGTACTACAAAGCAATCATAGCCCTACAATATTTGTTTGTGTTAAAGAATGATTGTTTTGAGTCATAGCACTAAGATTGCTTTGAGGTATGAACCCTGATTCCTCACAATGCTCAGACAGGAAAGGACTGTAAGGCGACATTTTTTTTATTTCTTGGTTTGCGGATGCGCCACTCTTTCAAAGTCCAAATGTTAAAAAACAATAAAAATATAAATTACCCTTTTTTATTACTGCCGATCTTAAAGTCAAAAAGTGCAAACAAAAAAGGATTTCATTTCCTCGTTGAGCATAAAGCAAAGAGAAGTCACTCTAATATTTCTCGCTGGGATCCTTCTCTAATATCATCAAAGCTTGTCAACGCAAAGCGCAGTGGTGACCAGTTTAACTCATTCAACACTGTTGGCCGGTACATCGGCCAAGAAGCCACGAGTCACCAGACACCGCAGGGTAGACCGTCCAAGTCACGTCAAAATAGTTTATAATTTCATTAACCTACTTGTCATGTAATTCATTTATTAAATCTATCACATTTCACAATGTCTGAAATACGTATTACATTTGATTTTATCATTTTTTATCAATAGATTAGAAAATTATTCACTATTTCCCACAAGGATTGTTGAAAATAAAATTCTTGGACACACCTCGACAACTGGTCCTCATCGAACATGTCAAACAGCAAAATAAAGACGTTTCAAGCAAATCTTTAAATATATTATACAAAGTAATAAAATCAACAAAAATATTTCTTGGCTCGGACACGATGTCTTAAATGCCAAAATATATGTATAAGAAATCTTTGTCACAGCTCGTAACCTAGCCCTATGTATCCATGAAGTTCCATATTTTTAATATAGATTGTGATTTCATGCTTTAAACGTTCAGAATAACATGATTTAACCCAAACCTTTCATCAAAGTCAATTATCATGCACGAGGACATACTGTAATTGATTGGCTGCCTTAGGTCACGTGCTTAAATTTGACGAATCACGAACCTTGTAGCAGATTATGTCGGTGAAACAATATAAGTTTTTTTAATGTATACTGACATGGCAGCCTTCGACGTGTGTGTTATTCGAACGACGCTTCGAAAATGGAGGTATTTCCTCATGTTAGTGAGCGGACAGCCACTATCATTGGGAAATGGGTGATGACAGATATTCTTGTAATTCTTTTTGAAATAATGTTCCGACTACCGGGGTACGTAAACAAATGAAAATAAAAAAGAAATAGGTAGAATCTAAGTGGATTTTATGAAATCTTATATTTGCCGAAAATCATTAAATTTTCGCTTCATTGGTCCTTACTCTTGACCTTATGAATGTTTTAGTTTTCATTATTTTTATTTTAACAAATTTTATTAAGTTGTTAATGAATTATTTAAATAATGTAATACACATAACTTTCATATTTATAAACAATAGGATTAATTAGACCTTTCAGATAGTGTATAGCCAAACATGTAGTAGCAAAGATGTTTTACAGGCAGATATTTTCCTTGATAAATGTTGGCTTTGTCTATCACACAAGAGTCTCTTGGAACTTGGTGTCACAGCAGTTATCTTCTGGTTGGCTGGTGTTGAAAGAGTTAAACGTCGCCCATGCTGCCAAAATAGCAGTGTCTTTCATGCATTTCCACCCATGACATGAATATTGTTATATTGCCATTTGTGCACAAGCTGAGTGCCAGGGATATGATAAAATGTTCTTGAAAAATTTAGTTACCGTATATGACCGCGGATAAGCCGACCCCGTAGATAAGCCGAGGTGTTAACTTGACTATTGAAATACGAAAGAAAATGGTATGACCCGCAGATAAGCCGAACCAGGAATTGAAAGGCAAAAAACACTGCGAAGTCGGACTGCAAGACATGTGCCGGTACTCGCAGATATTCAAAAATATAAGATGAAAAACGTTGTAATTATATTAATTTTGTTACTCCAGAATATTTTTTTATACCTACCTAACTTTTTTGGACAAAATTCAAGTAAAAAAAATCTCTGAGGCTTTCTTTTTTTTTTAAATTGGCCTACCTCACTTTTGAAATGAGTTTAGAATCCATAAACCAAGAAATAAAAAAAATGTCGCCTAAGAGTGACCTGTGACTTCACGGGTCAAATATTGATTTATGTTATTACTATGCAGGTTGTCAGTGCAGCAGTGAGCCCTAATGCCAAGGTAGTGGCATCGGTCTGCCAAGAGGGAGTGGTCAAGCTGTGGAATCCCGGCACCGGCCTGGAGGTGGTTAGTCTGCAAATTGGCGGAGAGGTCAGACAGCTGACCTTCACACCAGATTCCAAATACCTCCTCGCTCTCCTCATTGGGGAATCTTCAAGGATGCTTGTCTTTCAAGTACAGCTATGCTAAGATTTTGACAGGCATGATAGGGACCTGTTACCATATCAATGGATGATTGTGATTTGTTGTGTCAAGGGATGACTGGAAATGGGGAAATAAACCTGGGCCTGTGGCATGAAGTGTCAATGCTGTAACCACTAGACTACCCCACCAGCCTGAAAATGATTTGATGGAGTGGGGAATCTTATTAATCTCTATGAACACCCTGAATTATTCTTGTATGTTAACTTACAACTTAGGACTATGCAAGGCTGGCCACTTACTGTGCAATCAACCTAACTGTGTGAAACAGTTAGGGGAGCTTTGAAATCAGCCTGTAAGTGTGAAGGCTTCTACATTCTCAGTATGAGTGAGGGAAGCATTCAGAACAATATATATTGAAAATGAACATAAAGAAACAGTTCTGAATGGTAATAAAGAAAGCAGCAACATTACATTGTTGTGGATATTATATACCCTGTCTTTCTGTCATTGCATTTACTTCCAAAGGAAACCATCAAAGGAATAAATCATATCACAGATCTGGTGTTCAAAGTTCTCTCAGTGTTTCACGCAGACAAGTCTCCCACTGGAGTAAGAGATCGGATTTTAATTATTTGGGCTGGACACTTCATGTTTTTATGCATGTTTACAATGCTGTTAAAAGGGTTTTGGTATTATTCTAATTTTCATGAGGGAGCATTTCATACCATTAAAACCCACTGCAAAATTTAATTGCAATAGGTTTTGTGAAATACATAATATATTTGGGAAACACAGGAACATTGTACTTTTAAATGTGTTCTGATTATTCTAATTTACAGTATCAATGTATATTCCTAACTGTTTAGATGAACTGGCAAGTTTCAGTACAATTTCAGAATGATACATGTTTATGGATTTATCGGTAGAGCAGAACATGCTTACCCAATTCACGAACACTGGTGTCATCTCTGATTTTCCTTTCAGGGGCTGTGGAATCTCATTATCAAGACTGTTTATTCTCTGGTGTTGATGTTGCTGGGTTATTTTGACTGTTGAGCAGCTCAGTCAAGTTGTGTGCAACAGACTGACAATCACTTCACAACACATTATGACAGTTGGCAATATGAAAATGCCGTCCATTACATCATTCAGTGATTTCAGTTTGTTTGCTGAGGGTTGGTCATCAGATGCCATGGATAAACAGAAATTACCACCATCCAGCGCCAGACGCAAATCAGACATTTATGACCTTTGCTCAAGGAGACGAATTCTGTGCAACAGACTGAAGAATTTGCAGAGGAGAAGACTTGCCTCAAAGCATAAAGATAACGCCTTGAAAAGGCAACAGTATCAACTGCAACAAAAGTTGTTGAAGATAATGTCTGAAGACACAGAAAACGAAGAGACAACAGCTGTGCAGCCACTGGCTCTTAATCCTGATTTCTCTCTTGCTGCAGACCTAGGGGGAAGGCACTGGTGCCCTACACCTGCCACAGGTTCGTCTTCAATTTGGGCAGAATGGCTGGATGATGGCTATATGTTAGCACCTGGTCGTGACGATAATCAGGAGGACGCCCCTTGCCCATTTGAGGAGAAAGTGCCAAATATACGTCCCCCTGTAGAGAGCTGCTTCAAATCCCATGGACGAAATACCAACGTAGTTACTGTGCTATCCACTGAAACCTCTACTGACGACCTCACGTTACTTCAAATGGAAGATACATCTCCACATAAGGTTCAAAGTCGACGAAAATCATTGTCCAATGACATCAAGTGTTTCATAAGAAACAGAGTAAGATGTTGTTGCCGTTGTTGATATATAACCGTTACATGTACATTGTTTTGTGAACTTGATTGTTATACTTGTTGTTTTCTGAACAATCTAATTATTTGTCTTGTTTGTACCAAGAATAAATGCACTGGAAATTGAGATTTTCTTTTAATCTATGATATTAATCTTGAAATAAATCGACCGGTATGGACAGTTAAACAATCTAGTACACGGTAGAAGAATTTGTTTCAACATAGATTTAGTGTAAACCTATTGTGAGTAAGTGCGTGGACCTTAAAACAACAGAACAATCACAAACTGTGTGTGTTTGGGGAACATGGGTTTTGTCCGCAATACTGCAATTAGGCTGAGCAACTAGGCTAACCCTCTTTCAAGTTACTTTTCTGCAATTACTACACATTGGCTCACGAAGCCCAAATGCATGCGCTTCTAGCATTCATACAGAAAATTAGAAAGAAATGTCAAAAATAATTTCAATTCTTTTTATTGCACATTATTAAGCATTTTCAAACAAGAAATCAACATGTGTATAAGAGCACTGTATCTATCATAAAACGAAAACAAAGATAGTTTCTGATTAACACCACGAGCACTGGATGCTCTTCTTGAAGAATCGCTTTAAACCTTTAGTGACTGCTGCTCTCCTTGTCCGTGTCACTTGTGTCCGTTTGGTGGTAGACAACACACAGAGACGATTAGGTGAGGTTTGGGTGGAAATATTTCGTACTCCAGCCTTTAAATTACTTTCTGTGCGTGTGTTGACTGAAGAGCGCCGGGGACTGAAACGTCTGAAAATCTCTTTGTCTCCTGTGAGTTCTGTACCCGTCTTAGTGTCCACGGGGGGAAGGAGATCGTCACTGCACTTCATCACTCCACACGTCAACTCTATTTTGGAAGAGGACAATGTTTGCTCCTTTGTGAACTGTACACGCATAGAAGATGGCTCCAAAACCTCCATCAGATGTTGCTGTAGTAGCTGCTGGCGTCGTTTAAGGATACAATCCTTTTTCTGTAAGACCTTCCTTCTTTTTTCCAAACTCTTCAGTCTGTGTTGTAGCATCCTTCTTCTTGTGCCGAGATCGACAATGTCAGCCCTTCTTTTGCACTGTTTCTGCCATAGGTTTTCCCTGCTATCGTCTGAAGAGACATCGGTTACAGAATCTCCACTGGAAAGGTCAAATGACATATTGAAGTTGATATCCATGTTGAAAACAAGCTGAGGGTGGACCTATACTATTAGATGTGAAGCGAGTGAATGCCTGAGAATGAGTGTTGAGGAAGCCTGTCTAAGCCTTATATACCCCATGATGGGAGTGGCCCAGACAGAAGAAAAGAAATTGGTGCTTGACATCCCAGACAGGTAAATTGCCTATTTAACATTTAACCTGTTTCTCTATAGCTCGATTCTAGTCGTGATTTCAAAACAATAACATCATATTAAGAGCAACGCCACTGACGTGGTCACACACATAAGCAATCAGCAAAGCACAATGTGAGAGCACTACTAAAACTTGCTTCCACAAGCCCCTTGTAACTGTTTTAAGAAAACACTCTCTTCCTGTGGATTATTGGGCTGCTTCAGAATACAAGATATGGATATTGTGTCATCCAACTTTGCATGTGAACCTTGGCCAGTTGTCTCAGCACTTTGCCAGTCACATGTATCTCTGACATATAGAAACGGACTCTTGAATCTCTTCGCGCTAAACGTTTCCCAAATTACAGTTTCCTTCATGTGCTGTACTTTGACTTCAAGGGGCATTGAGCTACTGGATACCAGAAAAGTGTTTCAGCCTAAACGTGATGACAGTGGACAAAGGGTATTTGATCAAGTCATGATGTGGCGAAGTGTTAACTGCTGTCGGCCGTGTAGACGAGGGTACATCAATCAATCAGTGTAATTGTTAAAGGGCTTATAACTAGCAGTACTCATCTTAAACGCCGGTGTGTCAAAGGTGACAACGTGAAGCTGGCGGACAGCTTGTCACGTTATCAGTTGAGCTATGTAAACAATAATCATTAATAGCTGATGCTGCCACTCATTAAGACAACTATACTCGTCGGTGACTGGACAATAAATGTGAAATTAGGTATAAATGGTGCAACTTGCCTGTTGTTTGCATATTCTGTTTTCCTTCAGAGATAGTTGTGTGCAACAGACCGACAATCACATCACAACACGTTATGCCAGTGGGCAATATGGAAATCCCATCCATTACATCATTCAGTGATTTCAGTTTGTTTGCTGAGGGTTGGTCATCAGATGCCTTGGATATACAGAAATTACCACCATCCAGCGCCAGACGCAAATCGGACATTTATGACCTTTGCTCAAGGAGACGAATTCTGTGCAACAGACTGAAGAATTTGCAGAGGAGAAGACTTGCCTCAAAGCATAAAGATAACGCCTTGAAAAGGCGACAGTATCAACTACAACAAAAGTTGTTGAAGATAATGTCTGAAGACACAGAAAACGAAGAGACAACAGCTGTGCAGCCACTGGCTCTTAATCCTGATTTCTCTCTTGCTGCAGACCTAGGGGGAAGGCACCGGTGCCCTACACCTGCCACAGGTTCGTCTTCAATTTGGGCAGAATGGCTGGATGATGGCTATATGTTAGCACCTGGTCGTGACGATAATCAGGAGGACGCCCCTTGCCCATTTGAGGAGAAAGTGCCAAATATACGTCCCCCTGTAGAGAGCGGCTTCAAAACCGATGGACGAAATACCAACGTAGTAAATGTGCTATTTACTGAAACCTCTACTGGCGACCTCATGTTACTTCAAATGGAAGATACATCTCCACATAAGGTTCAACATCGACGAAAATCATTGTCCAATGACATCAAGTGTTTCATAAGAAATAGAGTAAGATGTTGTTGCCGTTGTTGATATATAACCGTTACATGTACATTGTTTTGTGAACTTGATTGTTATACTTTGTTGTTTTCTGAACAATCTAGTTATTTGTCTTGTTTGTACCAAGAATAAATGCACTGGAAATTGAGATTTTCTTTCGTCTATAATATTAATCTTGAAATAAATCGACCGGTATGGACAGTTAAACAATCTAGTGCTCGGTAGAAGAATTTGTTTCAACATAGATTTAGTGTAAACCAATTGTGAGTAAGTGCGTGTGTGGACCTTAAAACAACAGAACAATCACAAACTGTGTGTGTTTGGGGAACATGGGTTTTGTCCGCAATACCGCAATTAGGCTGAGCAACTAGGCTAACCCTCTTTCAAGTTACTTTTCTGCAATTACTACACATTGGCTCACGAAGCCCAAATGCATGCGCTTCTAGCATTCATACAGAAAATTAGAAAGAAATGTCAAAAATAATTTCAATTCTTTTTATTGCACATTATTAAGCATTTTCAAACAAGAAATCAACATGTGTATAAGAGCACTGTATCTATCATAAAACGAAAACAAAGATAGTCTCTGATTAACACCACGAGCACTGGATGCTCTTCTTGAAGAATCGCTTTAAACCTTTAGTGACTGCTGCTCTCCTTGTCCGTGTCACTTGTGTCCGTTTGGTGGTAGACAACACACAGAGACGATTAGGTGAGGTTTGGGTGGAAATATTTCGTACTCCAGCCTTTAAATTACTTTCTGTGCGTGTGTTGACTGAAGAGCGCCGGGGACTGAAACGTCTGAAAATCTCTTTGTCTCCTGTGAGTTCTGTACCCGTCTTAGTGTCCACGGGGGGAAGGAGATCGTCACTGCACTTCATCACTCCACACGTCAACTCTATTTTGGAAGAGGACAATGTTTGCTCCTTTGTGAACTGTACACGCATAGAAGATGGCTCCAAAACCTCCATCAGATGTTGCTGTAGTAGCTGCTGGCGTCGTTTAAGGATACAATCCTTTTTCTGTAAGACCTTCCTTCTTTTTTCCAAACTCTTCAGTCTGTGTTGTAGCATCCTTCTTCTTGTGCCGAGATCGACAATGTCAGCCCTTCTTTTGCACTGTTTCTGCCATAGGTTTTCCCTGCTATCGTCTGAAGAGACATCGGTTACAGAATCTCCACTGGAAAGGTCAAATGACATATTGAAGTTGATATCCATGTTGAAAACAAGCTGAGGGTGGACCTATACTATTAGATGTGAAGCGAGTGAATGCCTGAGAATGAGTGTTTAGGAAGCCTGTCTAAGCCTTATATACCCCATGATGGGAGTGGCCCAGACAGAAGCAAAGAAATTGGTGCTTGACATCCCAGACAGGTAAATTGCCTATTTAACATTTAACCTGTTTCTCTATAGCTCGATACTAGTCGTGATTTCAAAACAAGAACATCATATTAAGAGCAACGCCACTGGCGTTGTCACACACATAAGCAATCAGCAAAGCACAATGTGAGAGCACTACTAAAACTTGCTTCCACAAGCCCCTTGTAACTGTTTTAAGAAAACACTCTCTTCCTGTGGATTATTGGGCTGCTTCAGAATACAAGATATATATATTGTGTCATCCAACTTTGCATGTGAACCTTGGCCAGTTGTCTCAGCACTTTGCCAGTCACATGTATCTCTGACATATAGAAAAGGACTCTTGAATCTCTTCGCGCTAAACGTTTCCCAAATTACAGTTTCCTTCATGTGCTGTACTTTGACTTCAAGGGGCATTGAGCTACTGGATACCAGAAAAGTGTTTCAGCCTAAACGTGATGACAGTGGACAAAGGGTATTTGATCAAGTCATGATGTGGCGAAGTGTTAACTGCTGTCGGCCGTGTAGACGAGGGTACATCAATCAATCAGTGTAATTGTTAAAGGGCTTATAACTAGCAGTACTCATCTTAAACGCCGGTGTGTCAAAGGTGACAACGTGAAGCTGGCGGACAGCTTGTCACGTTATCAGTTGAGCTATGTAAACAATAATCATTAATAGCTGATGCTGCCACTCATTAAGACAACTATACTCGTCGGTGACTGGACAATAAATGTGAAATTAGGTATAAATGGTGCAACTTGCCTGTTGTTTGCATATTCTGTTTTCCTTCAGAGATAGTTGTGTGCAACAGACCGACAATCACATCACAACACGTTATGCCAGTGGGCAATATGGAAATCCCATCCATTACATCATTCAGTGATTTCAGTTTGTTTGCTGAGGGTTGGTCATCAGA